TTTTTTTTGTTGAAAATTGCAGATCTTTCAGCATTTATATTTTTTTTATATGCTAAAAATGATGAGAATATCCATGAAGATATTGTACACTGTTAGGGGTGTAAAATCTATTACATTGCTTCATTTTTTGGGGATATAACCTTGCTTCAATTTTTTAAATTTTGCTTTATTTTTTGCTATCCAAACCGACCAATCCAACCCAACCGATCGAAACTTGACTGATTAGAGTGGAAACACATGAATGAGTTGGGTTGGTTTGATATTAGATCAAATCAATCAAGTTGGGTAGGGTTTAGGTTGAATCAAAAATTGACCCGACCCGACCCGACCCGACCCACACCCACCCCTACCCCTACCCCTAATTGGGACCTTTTTTTTGTCCATTTAACATAACACAAACAACTTTATTAACCTTCAAGACTCCACCTGCACAAGTGTACTCGTACTTTTTTGAATCAAGAATACTAAAGGAAATAAGATTTTTCTTCAAATTCGAAACATGTCTCACATCATCAACAGTCCTGTTAGCCCCATCAAACATTAATTAATTCTGATCCTTCCAATGCTAGGTATACCACAATGTGTATTATTACGCATTACCACAACTTCGGAAATTGTTTCACATGTTGAAAACAAATCCTAATTATCACACATGAAAAAGTGCAAGTTGTATCAAGAATTCAATTTTCGCCAAGTTTGGAGTCATTGTCAGAAATCACCAAAAGTTCTCCATCATTGTAGTTATTTTCTGCAATATTGGTTTTACCTAAAGTTTCTGATTATTTTTCCTTTTAATTTGCAGCAACTAATTTATTCTTATTCTGTAACTTATAACAATCATTCTTAATGTGCCCCCGTCTCTTGCAATAATTACAGACATTATTACTGTAATTAAACCTTGAGCTGCTCCTCGCATACCCATCATCTACAATAAGGCCATCTCCATGAACCTCAGATCTAACAAGATGTTTCATCTTTTTCTTTGAAAATAGAGCATTATAAACATCTTTAATGGTGAGAGATCATAACTATATAATATCGTATCTTTAAACGACGTGTATGAAGCCAGCAATGAAAACAATAATATTAACCCTAAATCCTCCTAATCATATTTGACTTTTAAGGTCTTCAAATCAGCGACGATTTCTTTGAAAACCACTAGATGATCTTTCTGCGGTATACCTTCTGTCATACGATGAGAATACAAGTGTTGCTTCAGATACAATTTGCTGATTAGATTTTTCGTCTTGCACAACTGTTCCAATTTCAACTATAA